GGGCGCCGGCTCCGCGTTTCCCCCGCGCCCGGGAAAGTCCCGCCGGCCGCGCCTCCGCAGCCCCTCGGGCCTAGGCACCCCGGGCCGGGCGTCCCCCTGCCTCCCCGGCCAGGGACTCTGGGCCGGGGCCGCTGGGGTCCTGGTGCTGCTCGGGGCGCGGGCTCGCACCGTCCTGCCCCGCTCTGGCCTCCCGCAGCTCTTGGCCCCCGAAGAGCTTGCTCTCCTATTCTCCTGAGGGAAAACCAGGAGCTGGCGGTGCTGAGGGGCAAGCGGGGCCGGGTCTTATCTTATTAAGGGCTGGCTCAGCCTAAGGAGGTTGAGGTTGCCTGGTGGGCTTGCGAGGCCAAGCAAGCCAGAGATGTCCCTGACCCCTGTGGTGGCTTGCTGGGGCCTCCTCAGGGGTTCGTGCCTGGTAGCGCTGGTGGCTCTGCTGGAGGTCGCTCCCCTCTTCTGGCCCTCCCTGGGGCCAGCTGAAAAACAGGTTGGCAGGTTCCCAGCTGCTGTGACAGACAGTTGCCGTATGCCTCGTGCTCCTGGTCCCTGGCACTCCTGGACAAGCAGGGAAGGCTGCTTGCCTGTCACACTGGGAAGCATGCAAGAGAAGCACAGGCAATGCCCTATGCTAAGGTCAGCCACACTCTCCTGGCCTCCAGTCAGACACTTACCCAGTTGCTTCCCTGCCCAGCAAGGGCCAGGAGAGAGAAGTGACCTCGGACCAAACAATCAGCACTGCCAGGCACACGGCAAACTCCTGAGGATGCTTGAACAACCCACTACTGGGATGTGGAACACCATAGAGGACATCCCTGGTTTCTTTTGTGTCACAAGGACACCCAAGAGAGGTTCTTGAGCTGCTCGAAGCAGACAGGTGCTCATCACCACACTGCCCGTATGAAGAAGAGTGAGGGGAACATTCAGCAAGAGACATGGGCTGGATGATGTCAGCCTCAGGCGCTGCCATGACAAGTTTAAAAACCCCAGCAGATGCTGGGCAGGGGGGGAAAGAGAGAAGAGCCCAAGCCAGGGTGGCCCAGAGGTATCCAGGCTGCGGGTTGCTTCCCGGCATACTGTCCACTCAGGACCAGACGTGGGGGCAGGGACAGCAAGGTTGTGAATGCTTCCCTAGCTAGGGGAAACCCAGAATGGAAGCCAGGGGAAGGTGGTTTGCCTTCTGTTATCCATCTTTTTTTTAATTTATTTTATTATTTAACAGGGTTGCTACTTGGAGGACTCAGAGCAGAGGCAACCACCACAGAGGTGGGCACGGGAGAGTCTCTAGCCCAAACCTCCTCAGACGGGAGTTGGTAGGGAGCCTCAATGAGGAAGCTTCAGAGGCCTGAATCAGTGGCTGAAGACTGACTGGCATGTGGACTGGGGTGCAGGGGAGGTGGAGCCCCAGGACCATCAGCACTGGTGATGTGAGTACTACCAGCAATGGGGACGAGGTAACACCACTGAACCCCTTATTACATTTTGACATCAAGGCGTGGAAGATGATTGAGGGAGTCTGCCCTCGGGTGCCGGGTGGTACGCCCAACACATGAGCCATCACTGCAGGGACCCTTCTTCACACCCATATATATCTATACTTCCCCCCCCACACACACACACATATGCACATTTTAGAAACTAATGGCGTTTTACTAACTTTATTTTGAAATAAAACCATTTTGTGTACATTGCGTAAGAACCTACACAGCAGTGGTGGTGATGGCAGCATTGTTGAATACACTGACTATGTGGAGAAGTGATTTGGTCCAGTAAATGATCATAGGCAACAAGGTTCTTTGGGTAAATGTGATATCTTTTATTAGACCAACTTGTGCGGGCCGGGAGCGACCCGAGCCCTTTACCGTGCTGCACGCGGGCTGTGGCCAGCAGCCCGGGCACGCCGGGTCGGAGGGGGAAGGCCGTCAAGCTGGAATTAGGCACAAACGCGTATCGGTAGTTTTAAAGATTGTTTACTTACACCGAGATGGCAGTGGTGCAGGCTGGAAAACTTGCTTGAGTTGCGGTTACAGACAGACAACACAGACGGTCTCGTGGAGGTTGCTAGGCTCCACGGAACAG